TATATATATGTTTTAATAAATATAATCATTTAAAAGTTATTATTACGGCACGTTACAATTATAATAAATTTGAAATTCATTACTATAATATGGATATTTTAAATTCATTATTATAGTATATACAATAAATTGGACTTTAAATAAAATCTAAAATTGATAATGAAAATGTTTATTTGAAATAAATAATAATTGCATCGTTAATATGATCTAAAATCTCATTATTATGATATGTATATTCTAATTCATTATTTATAGTATATACAATAATTGGACCTTAAATAAAATCTAGAATTGATAATGAAAATGTTTATTTGAAATAGATAATAATTGCACCTTTAATTAGATCTAAAATAGTTAATAAAAATGTTTATTTGAAATAAATAAAAGAAGATGTGGAAATTTTGTCAAATTTAAAATTTAAGTTGAATTAAAAAACGAAAATTATACTGCTACTATCTATACTCATTAATTATGCTTACAGTAATATTTCTGAATTTGTGAAATTAGTCAAATGTACAAAAGGAAAATATTCAAAAATAATTATTGCCTAACTAATTAATTTTATTCGTATTTAATTAATATTTAATTTTAATAGTTGATATTTGAATTAAATTTCGAATAGAAATTTTTATATGGAATGAATGAAATCTTACCAAAATCTTGTAATATTATAATATAAAAATATATTTGTTAATTATTGAATCGTTCATATTTATTATTAAAGTATTTATAATATTAGAAATTTTTTTATAGTATAGTGATTTCAAAATAGCTATAATATTAATTTATATATTTCTTGCAGTATTTATCAAATTTAAAATTTTGATATTTATACGATAATTTATTATAAATTGTTACTGAGGAAAGTAATTAATAGCTGTGGTTGAATGATTAAGTAAAATAAAATAAATAAAATAAATTGGTTAAATAAGTAAAACGATAAACAAATAAAATAGTAAAATAAATAAGTAAATAAATTTGTTATTATCAAAAATTGAAAAAGATAATACAAATTAAATTCTTTTCAGAAATTAAGCAAAATTAATATGTAAACAAAAATTTCTAAACTTTGAATTGTTTCAAATTTAAATTTAAATTCATTATTATTTACCTAATCCTTTTTAGTTATTTAAGGATGATTAAGCATAATAATATTTCAGCATAATAATAATTTAGTTATTTAAGTATAATAATACAAATCATTTTTACATTTTAAATATGCAAAATAAAAGATAAGAAAAATTTTTATTAATGAAAAATTTTGCAAAAAATTTCAGTGGATTAGAAGAGCAAACAGGTATTGTAACCGGAACCGGTAGCATACCAGTATTACATATTCAGATTCGTGATGGGCATGGTATTATTGGTAATACTGTTACACATGCTAGAGTGGGACAGCCGTTAACACTTGATATTGTTCTTGAAAATACAGGTATGAAAATACAGTATAAAATACAGGTAATAAAGATTTCTAATATATGACTGAAATTTTGAAAGTTTGATTTATATACTAATAATTAAAATTGGTTAGTGTTGCTGTCAGGAATTCATTTTTATATTTATTTAAATTTTATTTTGTTGCTTATAATTAAGAGTGTTAGCAATAACAGAAATGAAATTGGCGAAGTTTAAGACTAAGTCTAAGTTTAAGCTTATGTTTAAATCTAATATTAAGCTTAAGAGCCATAAAAATATTGCAATTCATTATTACAATCTATTTGAGCTTTTGTGCAATCATTCATAACTTCTCGAAATGTATTAAAATTAAAATATTATTATTTAATAAATAACAATAACAAAACAACGGTAACAGTAAACAACAAGAACAATAACAACAAATTGATTAGAGAGTTATTTTAAACGAACTGAAATTAAATAATATTATAACAGCAATTAGAGAGTGATTTTAAACGAACTGAAATTAAGCAATACAATAACAACAAGTTGATTAGCGAGCTAATTTAAACGAATTAAAATTAAACGACACAATTACGACAAATTGATTAGAGGGTTATTTTAAACGAGCTGAAATTAAACAAACAATAGCAACAACAATTACAATGATCATTTGTTAAAATGTTTCCTTCCATTTTCCATTTTTAGTAAAATAATAAAATTCCATTTCTTTTTCCCTAAAATAATTCTTTAATAAAATTTATTAATATTCAATTAGCATATAAACAATCCTATTAAAATTTCCTAATTTATATTAATAGAAAAAAAAAGATAATTTTCATATAAAATATTGTTAAAATTATTTTTGGTGAAAAATTTCAAAATAATTATTACACTAATTTATTGATAAAAATCATTTCAAATATAATTTTAGGAATTTATTTCATTTCAAATTAAATTCACACATTTTAGGTGTTTCTTTGTTTTTTGGGATTAAAAAAATTACAATAATTGAATTATAGAAATTTATGATTTCTATGCACATTCATGTATAGCTCACGATGGTAGTAGTAATATTGATGCAATGGTGCAAATTATTGATGTAAATGGGTTAGTAGTTGTTTATTTATTATTTGTAAGAATGAAAGAAAGTTTATTATCATTAATCAATAACCTTTAACCTTTTATTTTCAAATGGTTTTCTTTTTCTTTAGCACTTACTTTCTCAATATTGTATATTGCTTATAGCATTTGTTTCACTTTTCTTCACAAACTTAAGTATCTTATTAAGTTTAAATTTATAAAGAAAAAGTTTAATTTTCTTTTATATTAAATTATAACCTTTAACCTTTTTATATTTTTAGGTGGTTTTCTTTTTCTTTTAACACATACTTTCTTAAAATTATATATATTGCTTATAGCAATTGTTTTGTTTTGTTCCTGAAATTAAATTAGTTAATTATGTTTTCTTAAATTTTAGATTTAAATTTAGGATAAATAATTTAGTAAAGGAAAAAGGAAAAAATTTATTTAATTAAATTATTCAATTTCTGATATTTTTTAATTCCTGGTGTCCTTTTTTTCTAACTTAGACATTTCAAATTAAATATAATAATTTTTCTTCTGTACCTTTTTTGAAATTATTCAATTGTTTTAAGTTTTCCCTTTTAAAATTTATACAGATGTGGAATAGCATTACCGCGAGCAATTGAACTACCAGTTTATATGACATCTCCCAGTAATAGTAATTCGAAACATGTTTACATTTACATATATGGTTTCCAATTTACATCATCACAATTTGTATATTTTGAATGTCAAGCAAAACCATGTATACGTTCATGTAACCGACAGGTAGTTATTTTTATATATTGGAATGTATTATAATAATTAAAATGAAGCAAAATAATTCTTTTATACTAATTTAAGGTATTTCCATACATTATTTTCTGATATTGAATATATTATAATAATTAAAATGAAGTGAAAAAATTATACTAATAATTATATTATACTACTTTGAGGTATTTCCAAATATTATTTTCTTATACTGAATATATTATAATAATTAAAATGAAGCAAAATAATTCTTTTATATTAATTTAAGGTATTTCCATGCATTATTTTCTGATATTGAGTATATTATAATAACTAAAATGAAGTGAAAAAATTATACTAATAATTATATTATACTACTTTGAGGTATTTCCATATATTATTTTCTTATACTGAATATATTATAATAATTAAAATGAAGTAAAATAATTCTTTCATACTAATTTAAGTTTAGTATAATAAGAAAGAAAAAGATAAATGAAAATTAAGTGTTAAAAGTTGAAAATTAACAATTGAAAAGTTTGGATTGAAAAATTTTTTAATATCATAATTATTTTTTTTGGTATATTTAAAATATTTTATAGTAAGTAATTTATCTTTTAACTATGATTATATTAAAATTTTAATTGATACAAAATGCATTTATTGATTTGGATTAATTAAATGGTACTTGATTACTTATATTTCATTTAGTAAATGGATTGAACTATTATTATGTTAAAATTTTTATTGATACAAAATGTTTTTATTTATTTGGAATAATTAATTGGTATTTAAATACTAGTATTACATTTAGCAAATGGATTGAAAAACTTTCTCTTCTTTGTTTGCTTTTTATTTGCAGCAATGTGAAACAAACAAAACAATGATAATCGAAACAATAACAACTACAACAACAACAACAACAATAACAGCAGCAACAACAGCGACAACAACAACAACAATAGTAAATAAAGCAAAATTGATAAAACGCTTTCGTCGTGAAACACAAGTAAAAGTAGTGAAATTACTGACAATTTTGGAGATGAGACCACCTAAACGAATATATGCTGATGAATTTCGTAAGTTATCAAAATTTTTGACAAATAAAATTATCATAGAAAATAAATGAAAAATGATAAAATTTAAACTAAATTAATTAATTAATTTGATAATAATTAATTGATTTGATAGCTAAATTAATTAATAAATTAGTAAATTTGATAAAAAATAAAAGCAAAAAAATTTGATAACTTTAAACTATAAGATTTATAAAACAAGGAATGAATAATTCAACATACTATATCAATTTTAATATTTTTGTGTTATCAAAATTAATCATCAAAATGAAATTTCAAAAATTAAAATTGTTTTAAACTATTAATGAAAATTTGAAGGAATTAAAAATTTCAATGGCATATTAAATAGCAATTAAACTGATTAATAAATTTGATCTTAATTAATAAGTTTGATAAATAAATAAATAAATAAATTAATTAATTAATTGATAAAAAAGAAATAATAAACTTGATGAATTCAAGTATTATGTTACTATTAATAATAAATGAAAATTTATGTATTAACTTATATATATAATCAAATAACTTATCATATGTATAAATGATAGTATAAATATACTTAATATTTTTGTTTCTTATTATTATTTAAAATAATTTGTTTATCGATTACTAATGCAATAATATATTACTATAGCGATATAGTTATTGCTATTACAGCTACTATTACTGAATAATTTCAAAGATATTGAACTATTTAAAATTTCAGATTCAAATTCCAATACAAAATTATCAGAATCTACTTGCCTAGAATCTACTTGTCCACCATTGTTTTTTCTCATTGTACTATTCACTGCGCTAGGTTTAATGCCAACAATAACATTATTTGTATGTTATGAAATTATTGTATTTCGACGACGACAAACCCTTAACGTTCAACGAACACCTTCATTTTCTGGAATTCATACCGAATCAATCTACAGCAACTCCAGTGATAATTGACCTCTACTAGTTGATAATTTATTACTGTCTTATTTTCTTTCTTTTCAAGCACATCATCTTATAAGCCATTCTGGTTAAAATTTTATCTCATCCGATTACAAAACAGATTCATAAATTAAAATTACTGTAGGTAAATCTATTTAATACAGTAATTTCAGAAACATGCATCAGATATATATATGTACTTCAATTGGACTATTTTCTTGAAAACTTCAAAAGCCGATCCAGCTGTAGTCAGTGATGACATCGGACCATCTAAAATCAGTTCAATTCCAATAAGCAATTAGGCTTCCCAATTAATTGAATTTCGCACTGATTGGAAAATATTGTTTCTCATTTTTCATTAATGAATATCAAATTGACTATATTTTATCAATTTTATTACCATAATCTTTAATAACAATATTAAATTTAACAGTGATATGGTAATTAATAGATACCTATTGAAATATTTAATTAATTTTTGGAATTAGTAGAAGCCGAAAAAAAATGTACCGAAAAAAAACAAATTTGCAAAATTCAATTCACAGTTGAAGTGATATCACGATATATTTCAATAACAGTTAGCGGAATCTACTCACGATGTAATATCAGTCAAGAAGTCACTATTTCTGCCCCTACCCAAATTCCTCAACAAATAACAGAGCAAACCTGAATTAGGTATACAGCTAAGAGAATCGATCGAAATGACACATTTCTCATTTTTTGGAATTTATACCGATGCGGCTTATAGTTCTCTCAGTGATAATTGATTATTGCCAATAGTTAATAACAATCATAATTTGTATTTCCTTTTCAAGCCCTAAGCGAAAACATATAACAAAATATAACAACATAAGCAATGAAAAAACAATACAAGATCGGATTAACAAGCTTTAAGACAATTCAAACAATTAGTTTTGCCCTTGGTTTATTATTAGTTTCTATATCCCCAAATGGATTCATATACAACTTCCATTGTTAAGCGCCAGATTTCTGCTCAAATTTTGGATATATTTCTCTAGCTTCACTCCAAGACATTCTCTCGGATGATAAATCAGCAACCGTTTTTCCAACATCACTCACCTGAAATATATCATCTTTGCATTATTCCGAAATACTGTTCAAACATTGAATTACTTAGAAATATGAAAACCAAGAATTACGAAAGACAGCCAAATTGCACAACAATTTACCATTCACTCCAGAAATTATGATAAAATATCACCGAACCTTCAGTCGAACTTGTTCCATTGTAATTGAGTAACGCAAAGTTACAGTCCACGGCTCTGATTCCGATTCAAAATCAACCGTTATGCCAAACGGTATGCCTATAGCATCTGTTCTAGCATAACGTCGACCAAGTGATCCACTGCTATCATCCTAAATAACATTCTTAAAATTATAAAAAATTTAGTAATCTATTAAGAGCTGATTTTGAAACCTTCCTTCAAACTATATATTGTCAAAAATCCTTACTTGTTTATAGCTCACAGAAAACTTGGCTAATTCTGAGCGTATAGCAGCCATAATCGGCTCAAAACGCGGATTTGCTGAGATTGGCAGTACAGAGCATTTGATTGGAGCAATAATTGGCCGCAGTGCAAAATACTGAAAGAGGAAAACTTATAAAGTTAGTAATTCCAAATTAATACTAAGGAAAATAATTCCAAGCCAGCGAAAGCAAAAGATCTTGTAAACACTAAAGATGTAAGGAAATTTTATTTTGAAAAGTTAAAAATCGCACCACTCTTTGTTCGTCACCTTCTCTTTGACGAAAAGAATGCTCCAAAACGCTATACATGATCCTTCCGATGCCAAATGATGGTTCAATTACAGACGGATAGAATTCTTCAGCATAGACCTATGATATTTGAAAATATTACGATTATTAAAAAATCAAATTCCCCTACCTCCCTTCCCTTGCTGTGCTTTTCCTTTCATTCCCCAATAATTTCTTGTATGGAAATGAATTATAAAGGAGAGACAGCAACGAATAACTCAAGACTCACTAAGAAATGAAGAAAGCTTATTGAGAGATTATATGCGAAAAAAACGTGAATGTTCTTGAATATTCTCATTCTTAAAAACATAAATAAAGATAATATTCATCAATGTAGAAATATAACCTTTTTCTCGTATCTTTTAACGGTAATGTGATCCTTTTGCAATTTCACTTCTTTATTTCCATACTGAAGTCTCGCGTATCTGCAATTAGAAAGAGTGAACGCAAAATTTTAGGAGAAATTTTCACTGGTGTGATACTTGGCATGATAATAGTTGCAATAGATTGAGAAATTTAGTCTGCAATGCAAAGGCTGGGGTGATTAGAACACACTTAGAATCAACTGAATGTTAAATGTTAAACCAGCTAATAAAAGAAATTCATAATTAATTACCCAGCAGAAATGATCTCTTTTTCCAGCCTCTCAACTTCTTCTGGAGTGAGCTGTTCAAGCCTGGCAAAGATCTAAAAGCCCAACAAATGTAATCATTTGTTAGATATAAAAACATCATGTTAATTTAATTATCTTAACTATATTTTTCCTCAAATTTTGTTATACGATAAAGAAATTTTTCGGAATTAAGCATTTGCAATGATATAACGAAAAAGAAAATTCCCAGTATTTCAGGCTGTATTATTTTTTAACATACATAATCCAAAATGTCAGTGATTTCCAAAAAAAAGAAAAAAATAAAGGACCCTCTGCGAAATCAATAATTACCTGTTTCGCTTCTGTTTTGTAAATTTTTCCAATTACCGCTTTATTGGGCATTGCTTCGATAACCTGAACAATTTTTGGTTCACTGAGCACTTTTTCAGCTACCAACTTTTCCCCAGTAGCTTTCGAATGTTGCGATAGATCATAGCATGCACGATCAGCAACTCCAACACATTCAATCCATCCATACGATGTCAAAATTTCAGCATCCCAGCAATCCTGAAAAAAATTAACAAATGCTATTTCTTACTAATGAGCCAAGTAAATAATACACCTATTAACTTTAGCCCTCAAATCTTAGTTGTATTTTAAAGATGGAACTTATGCTTTCACTTAAAAACTGAACTGGATTACATCTCATTAGTGACAATTTATTTTGTGCATGCCCCAATCATCATCGATATTAAAATATAATAATTCTCCAAATCACACACCATAGCACATTGTGACGAGAGACAAAGACATGAAAAAACTATATACATGAAAAAACTATATAATACTTTATCAACTGCTTACACTGTTAATGTAGACTTATATATTACAATTGATAAAAATATATGACTAACACAAGCATAATGAGCCATTTCATTAGCCAAATGCTGCCTAAATCGCAATCTCTCTGGGTCTACTCCAATACGCACCAGATATTTGTGAACTCGAACCATGTAGTAGCCAAGAGTTTCATTTGCCACTAACTTCTGTAAACTTATCTCAAAAACTTTTGCAAGATCAACTTAGGTTTGACCACTTCTCTTTATAGAAGACCAAAAAAGAAATGGATGCGACATCAACGGCTTAGGAAGAAAATTATCTTCCTCCGAGTAATACACAAATTACAACTGAAATTAAACTTGAAATCAACTATACCTTGGCAATAGCGTCCCCAATTGATAATGTCTGTGCTGACGCACCATCTGTTTGATTACAACTCGAAAACAATATCAGGTTATAATCTTTCACTTGTTCAAATTTCGGATGACTTTTATCACTCGGATCAACAAAATGTTCGATTTCACACATCGTAAATTCACGAAGCCTTATCAAACCTTGCCTCGGAGAAATCTCGTTTCGAAAACCGGAACCTATCTGGGCCGCAGCAAACGGTAATTTGCCCTTTAAATTTGAATTGGTCAATAATCTAATTAATCTGTATGAAAAAATTCAGTCAGATTATGATATACTATAAACTAAAACTAAGCCGACTTTAATTTCGAATAAAAACAACTAAATCTCAAAAATTACAAACCTGATTAAATTGTAACAATCGTTTGAAATTAACAAAAATGCCTTGTGCTGTTTCTGGTCGTAAGTAAGCTTTGAAATCGCCCGTTGGTCCTATTACAGTTGGAAACATCAAATTGAAAGCAATCGGTTCGGACAGTTCATTCCCAGTTATTGGAGATTTGATGCTGTGCTAAAAAACTTTGTCTGTTTAAACTTAGTCAATAAGCAAATATCACTTATCACTAACAGTGTGAAGAATTCCACACCTTTACGATGACATTGCACATGTCCCCATCGTTAAAACCTTCCAGTTTCATCAAGACTTCCTTCAGCTCCTCTTTTACACTTGCCGGGGTGTTCATATCCTGAATGTTTTTAGAATAATAGTTTAAACTAAAAGTTTAATGAAATAAAACTAAATTCATAAAAACGATTTCTTTGACGAATCCACAGAAGCATATAAACAAGATGTGGTCTTCACCTACTTGGCACATTTTCTCAGCGAAATTTTTGATCAGATGATCAGCTCGAAAGCATTCACCGGTTTTCAGATCTTTCACCATCCAGTCCGAAAATCGATCAACATGTCCTGATGCTCTAGAGCGAAACAGATGACACTATCACTGGTAGGGAAAATGTTAATTAGGTGAAATATTAAAATCATAAATAGCAACACAAATTGAAGTGAAGCAAACAAAGTAAGCAAATATAGTTTGTGTAATTCAATATATAAAAAAGCAGGTCGTACTTAAGGACACTTTCAGGAGTTAGAACCGAACAATCCACCTCAAGCATATTTTCCTCAAGAACAAAATGATTTCTCCAAAGATTAATCATATTCGCTTTCATAGCACATCCCATCGGACCAAAATCATATAATCCTGTTACACCTAAATGTACGGTTTTGTTGAAATAGGTTGACAGCTTAGATTGGGTAAAAAAATCATATAGATATCTTGAAACAATCCATCCTTAAATAACTTATGACCACTAGCAATAGACTAATCCTTAACTTACCTCCATAGATGGCAAATGATTGATCATAAAAGAAACGCTGTTTCAATAAATCCTCGA